TTGGAACTCATCTCCCACTGGCTGTTCCATCAGGGACACCATCAGGGACACAAAAAAGCATATCTACTACCGATGTGTTGTTACTAATACCTGGCAGAGTTAATTGTCTCTCACTATAATTACCCCACCATTATAATCAGTTTGATCAATCAGAGCTCTACTACTTCTCTGGAAGATAATAGCAGAGAAATCAATATGCAGTTGAGAAAGAGTTTATAAAATACAGGTATTCTTCAGAACAGGATTTAGGGGAAAGAGGCAGGGCAGGGCTCTGTACATTCTGTACTGTTCTTCCCCAGCTTAAAAAGAAATGAATTCAGATCACTGAACTGTTTTGCCTAGGTTTTTGGTTTATCTGCGTGTTTGTCGTGCAATGTAATATCCAGAGACTTTGCTGCTTTGTGTCTAAACTCACAGGTGACAAAACTGGAATCAGATATAGCAGACTCTGTTCTCCAGGAAAACGCAGCTGCAAGGATGGTGAGAGTCCTGGCGCTGTTCCTTTTGCTGTCTCTTGAAGAGTGGAAAACAGCGACCAGAGAGTGTCCTCGAACCAGGTTCCTCACAGTTCCTCATGACTGGTATCAGCCAGGGACTCTCCTCATTGGTGGGATGGCTTCCCAGATCTTTTATGTATGCAACGAAATTGACTTCAAAGATTATCCTCCACAAGTCATGGGCTTTGATCTTCCAGTGTAAGGAATTCAACCCCACTTGCTAAATCAAGACTTTTTTCAAATTCTACAAATGTAAAGTATGAAAAAAAAAAAAAGCAGAGCTACAAAAGAAATGCTTCCCTGTCTTCCACCCCACTCTTACAGCATGCATCCGGATTAGCTTATTTCTAAGTCAATTTCTGGCATTGTTTACATTGGCCTCCTCCCTTCATTTCAGCTCTAGGTTTTTGCTATTCTTCTCTCTCTTCTTCCTTAAAAAGTGTAGCTCATTGTTTTCTTAATCTTGCTGAATTTACAGCATTCTGCTAAGTGGGAGAGACTTGAAGAAGTTTTGTTAAATCTGTGAAAGCAATATCCTGGGGCTGGAAGAATCTTAAGAACTTGAAACTCACGGTCAGGCAGAATTAATTATTGTCTGCTTTTCTGTATCAAGAATGTTTTATGCAATTTAATTGGGAAAAGAGGAAGGAAGGAAGGAAGGAAGGAAGGAAGGAAGGAAGGAAGGAAGGAAGGCAGGAAGGAAGGAAGGAAGGCAGGAAGGAAGGAAGGAAGGCAGGAAGGAAGGAAGGAAGGCAGGAAGGAAGGAAGGAAGGCAGGAAGGAAGGAAGGAAGGCAGGAAGGAAGGAAGGAAGGAAGGAAGGAAGGAAGGAAGGAAGGAAGGAAGGAAGGAATTCACATTTTAGAGGGCTGTTTTCTATCATCCTAAGAAACAAGGTTTGCAGTTCAGGATGGGGAATATCCTGTACTTGAGAACTGCTGAGTCAATATGTCTGTTAGGTGAACTAAAGATTTGTAGTAACCTAATTTTTTAAAAAATAATGAATTTATTTAGACTTGGACACATTTTACCGATTTCTAAATGCCTATTTCTATTCAGTTAAATTTTACAACTGCATGTATTTCAACCGTGTGATTTCCCCTTATCCCCTCCATTATTTTCTCCCCTCTTAATCATTCATCCCTTTTGAAACATCTGATTAATCTTCATAGTGCAATCACACTGCATCTTCACAAGAGTTGGGCCACCCATAGTGGCCTTTATCCATATCATCAAATTCATATCTGAAAAGGTTTCTAACTCTATATCCAGAATGCTGACCAAATTCTACCAGAATGTTTTGGCATTGGTGTTTGCTGTAAATACAATCAACAAATCTCCTACAATTTTGCCAAATGTCACACTGGGCTTCCACATCTATGATACCTACTATGATGACGCAATGACCTATCGTAGTCTCCTGGATTTGCTCTTCAGATTACACAGATTTGTTCCCAACTATGAATGTGAAGCCCCCAAAAACCTAATTGCTGTAATTGGAGGACTTGGATCTGACGCCTCCTTTCACATGGCAGATCTTTTAGGACTCTACAAGATCCCACAGGTGAGGTTGATGCATAGCAGCAGGGAATGGATTTTGATACTTTTACTAATCTCATGACATCAGAGAAGTGATTTTGTGGTTTTGAAATAGGAAGGAGGAGCTAGGAGGTTAAGGAAATTAAGGTTTGTTCTATGTTCATGGAACTATAAAAGATAAGGGAATAGATATAGAGAATTTGAGAAATAAGGGGTCCTGGGATGATCAGGGAGGTTCAGAAGCCTGCTTCCCAGTTCAGGTTCACCATATTTCCCCATCTCTGTTAAATAAGTAAAGGAGAAATATTTATTTTCAATTAGGATAAATAGCCAGATAAGGGTTTCCTTTCTGCAGGTATGATTCATTTATGAAAATGTCTCACTCCTATCTTTATTTTGTTTTTAAGCTCACATATGGATCGTTTGCCCCTGAAGATATTTTAACAGCTGAGATTCCGACCTTTTATCGCATGGTCCCAAATGACAGAAACCAGTACATGGGAATTATCCAATTGCTTCTGCACTTTGGCTGGACATGGGTAGGTCTTTTGACAGGAGATGATGATAGCGGAAAATATTTCTTGAAAACCATAGAAGTCTTGTTTTCCAAGTATAGAATCTGTTCAGCCTTCATTCAGGTGTTCCCACGCCATGGTCGTGTCTTTTCCCAAACTGATATGGGTAAATTTGGAAATCTCCAAGTCTCTATTATGGATCAGAGGGCCAGAGCACTTGTCATCTATGGTGATGTTATGAATCTTATGTGGTTAAATACCTTTAGTACTCTTCTAGTTTCTGAAACCACGTATTTTGGAAAGGTGTGGATCATGACAGCCCAGATGGAATTTGCAGTCACAGGTGTGACTAGACGGATGGATTATCAAATGTTCCAAGGTGCCATGTCCTTCACAATTCATTCCAATGAACCTCAGGAATTCCAGCTGTATCTTCAGAAGATAAACCCATACCAACCTCAAGGAGATGGTTTTGTCCAGTTGTTCTGGGAACATGTTTTTGAATGTTCATTTCCAAATTCTGAGGAGTTGTTGGAGGAGGATGAATTATGTACTGGGAAGGAGAACCTGGAGAAGCCTCCTCAGTCTGTTTTTGAAGTGAGGATGAGTGGACACAGCTACAGTATCTACAATGCTGTCTATGCAGTAGCCCATGCTCTCCACGCAATGCACTCATCAAAGACCAGACACAGAGCAAGAATGGGTGAGAAAAGACTTGACTTTCAAGACATGCAACCTTGGCAGGTAATATTCCCATAACAGAACGATATGCTTTGCATGATCCCGCTGCTATAAAATGAAACAGCAGACCACTTTTTCCAATAATGAATCAAATATATATTAATGATTAGAATTAATACTTGTATCCTCAGGTATTTATGTCCATAATAGCTTTCATGGGAAACCAACTGCTTAACTGTTAAAAAAGAAAATGATCATCAAATAATAATCATTGTCAACTATCACTGACTAACATTTATTGTCCAGCAGCAATATGAATGGTTAGAATAGAATGCTTAAGAGAAAATGTAGCAAAAGCAATAAAATGAAGTCATTGGAAAAAAAAAACCTTCGCAGGATTAGGAATGAAAAACCAATACAGGGAAACAGCCTTTCTGAATGGTTTAATTGTAGAAGAAATTTCAAGATTTTGGTGTAAGCATGGAAATGTGCCTTATACACTCATCTGCCACATATACAAGAACAAAATAAACCTATGATAAAAATCACTTTTTCTGATTTTTTTTTTCCAAAGTCTTTTTATATTGTGGAGTCCTTGGGGTTCTCTGAGCTTGGTTGTTTTCTTGCAAATGTTTCATTACCAGGCTAAGTAACATCTTCAGTGCTAGAATAAATGGGGTTTGCTCTCTGTTTATATACAGTAGTTGCCCTAACAGTGTTAATCGGAGTGTGGGTTTTGTTTTGTCTTGTTTTGTTTTGCTCTTTGGTAGTTCCTTGATTAGGACATTGTTTACTGCTTGATTGCTTGTTTGGTGTTAATCTCTGCTTATCTGGGTGATGCTTGCTGGTGAGGAGATGTTCTGGCCTTTGTTTCCTTTCCTTTGTCTCTTTTGAATAGTTTGTTAGAGATGTTGTTTATCTCTCTGTTCCTGTTGATGGCTGACTTGTCTGAATGCCAAGCTTCCAGGAATTCCCTCACATTTTTGGAATTAGCTTGGTCTAAGAGGCTGACAGTTTCCCAGTTGAAACTATAGTTAAATCTGTGGCTGGCGTGGGTCTTCCGGGCTGTGTGGCTGTGTTCTGGAAGTTTTGTTTCCTAATGTTTCACCAGCA